GCACGCACACACGGCCGTGTGTTTGTCCCAGTTGAGATGAGCAACGGAGAAAGAGAAATGGTCGACACGACACGACGGCCAGTCAACCCCAGCCAATCCAATCCAGCATCACTGCCGTGTGTTGCCTGCTGCAGTCATCACCACAATCACAATCACAATCACAATCACACAGGTGCCAGCAAAAGGAATGAGCCACTGATATGTGTCATTGTCATGTGATACCACCACCACACCATTCATGTGCATGTGTACACGCACCCCCATCCCTCAACCAACATCATCGCCCTCCATCACTTCCCCTCACCTCCCTCCCTTCGCTCTGCACTCCCACGCCGCACCACCACCGTGTCACTTCCCTCCTCCCCTGTTTCCCACCGCTCCACACAACACAGCCCACCACAACCAACCAACCGCCAACGATTATCCTCACCTGTGCTTGATGCAGCCAGTCAGCCAGCCGATGTGCCACAGCGAAGCAGAAGAAGGAAGCGCAATCACATGCCACGGCCACCATCATCATCGCTGATGGAGCAGAAAGAGGAGATGAAGGAGGAAGAGTGGTGGGCACGGGCCGTGTCCTTCCTTGTCTTCATCGGTGCAGCCCAAACACGGTGCACAGCGCACAGGCGCGCGCACGGCCATCATCACAGCAGCACCACCACCAGCAGCAGCGACAGCAAGATGCCTGCGTGCCTGTGAGGCAAGGAGAAACCAACCAGAGACGAACAACAATGAGCGGTGGTGGTGAGGACAGGAAAGGAGGGACACAAGGGACCACGCATGAGAATATGCAGCATCTTGTGGGCGGGTGCATCACCTACACACAAGAACAACGAAGCAAGCACCCAACAATCAACCAAGCAAGCAAGCAAGCAAACACGCGATATCACATCCACCACTGCTGCAATACCTGTATTGGCGGCTGTCTCGAGCACGCCTCAGCAGGTGCACATCGCATGGGGAAGGCTGACGATGACAGAGCGAAGGCGATTGGTTGGGAAAGGAAAGGGAAATTCGGTTGGGGAAACCCCGCACACGTCCGCCTGCAGCCACGCACACACGCACAATGAGTTGTGGGATTGGTTCATGTGAGACACACGTCAGTGCAACCACCTCAGTTAATGACTGCTCTGGTGTGTTGGAATGTATGTGTACGTGCGTGTGAATGTGTACTACCACCCCATCACCACACACTCACACACACACACACACACACACACACACACACACACACACACACACAGCGGCAGCGTCTCACCTTGCGCCTTCTTCTCTTGCACATTTGTGTGTGCATTTATCGCCCTGCTCGTGTCATGAGGGCCTGGGAAGAGAACGGCCACTGTCCTGTGCAAAATCACACACATGCACACATGCGCAAGCACAAACAGCCAAATCAGCAAGAAGAACACCACGCAGCGAGCCAGCATGGCAAAAACAAACCACATTCACCTCCTTGTGCCACATTCACATCACCCACATCATCACCTGTGCACGCACATGTCACATCACCACACACAGACACCGTGACCACCACTACAAGCATCACATCTGCACATGCGTGTGCGTGCGCCGTCTACATCCACCACAAACCACTCACCACCACCAGCAGCGTCGTCATGCGAGGCAACGGCACATCGACGCACATCACACCCTGTGTGCGTGTGAAGAAAGAGGTGAGTTGTCACACAATCGGGCTGTCAACGACAACCACACCCATTGCCATCACCAACAGGCTCAACGACATCCAACCAACACCTCACAATCACACACATATACATGCTGGTGTTCACACCCAACACATCACACGCCGCCCGCATCACCACAACCACCACCGCCATTCATCTCACCTCCACATCCACAGTCGCAGCCGCTGCTGTTGGCGACCAATGACGACGACGACGAGCAGGAGGAGATGGGCAAGAGGCAGAGGGCCAGTTCATCCACAATGCAGCCACACATCAGCTGTTGTTGCTGATGTGGTGGTGGAAGCGGTGAAAACAAACGGCCCCTTGCCATGCCGTGTCCTTTGCTCGCTCGCTCGGCTGCTTGGTTGGTCGGTTGGATGGAAACGGGATGCATGGCCCTGTGTCCAGATCAAGCGCAAAAAGAGGGGAGAAGAAGAAAAGACACATGAGTCGACAGAACAGACAAGGAAAGTGGGAGGCGAACAAGGAAACACAACGTGTCAACCAACACACACTCACACACACATCTCAGTCGCCCCTCTCACCTTCATCACTCGTCATCATCGTCATCGTCGTTGGTTCCACCGCTTCATGCGCCTCCTCAACGCTGTCAAATGTGTGTGCACAGACACAAGAGGGGAAAATGGAGAGGGTGAGGTTGACAAGCATCATCAGCCACACGCCAGCCCCATCGAACCACCCGCATTGACACACAACCACACGCACACATGTTCTCCCCACTCACCAACACACACCCACGCACACGCACATGCTCACCTCTTCATCAGAGCGCCTGACATGTGCCATGTCTGCCTCACGCCTGATTGGGGCTGGTGTTGGCCCGCGTGTGATGGCGGCTATGCGGTCGATGGTGATGGTGACGGTGATGGCGGTGACAGCGGAGCTGAGGTGGAAGAGAGGAAAAGGAGAGAGAAAATGGGGAAGGGTTGAGGATGGATCGTTCATGGCGGCTGCTTTCTCCTCCACTGATGTGGCCCTGGTGCGCATGCAACCAACACACAACGACAAGACACAACGACATCATCACACACAAGGCACAGTCATGACATGTGAGCACAGCAGGCGCGTTCACCTTCCTATTCCCTCCTCTTCTTCCCTCCCCCCGCTCCACCATAACCGCACATACACACACACACACACACCTGCGCATAGCTGCGTCGCTGTGGTTGGATGTGCCCACCATGACCATGGACGTGTGTGTCCACAGCTGCTCCTCCCAATTCATCATGTGTGTGCACCGCCCATCATCCGCCAACGATCCTCACGCAGTCGCTCCCTACAGCCGCAAACACACACATGCACACATTGCATGTGAGTTGCACAGCTACACTGCTGCACCAGGCACAGCAGCAGCAACAACAACACATGCACCATGTGCCAACCAAAGCATCCATGATGGGCTCACCTTGCTCACATGTAGGAATACTGCATGAGCACAGCAGCGGCAGCCGAATTGGGGGAGTTGCAGCAGCAGCAGTCGGCATGCGAGCCCACTTCCATCAACATCCTGATGTGTGCTTGTACCTCACCACCTGTGCATATGTGTGTGTGTGTGGTTACAGGGAACGTGGATGGGAACAGAACACAACAGGCACAGAGCAAGCTATCACGTCAGCGCAGCAGAACGAGTGATGGACGTCACACGCACCACGTGTGTGTGTGTGTCGATGTGTGTCAAAAACGTCTCCCATCAACCCTCTTCCCGCGTTCGCTTCACCGCACCCCAGCACCGTCACCGCACCCCATCACACACACACACACACACACACACACACACACATACACACACACACAACCAACCACTCATCACCACCCACATACCATGTGCGAGGCGAGTGCAGCTGGCACGCGTGACAAGTATCCTCGACATTCCCTCATCCTGCTGCCTGTGCGCATCACCTATAAATGTGGTTGTGTGCGAGCACCAGCATGGTGAGTGAGTGAGTGGGAGGGAAAGAGGGAGCAGTGACATGTGCGCAGCTACACTGCTGATGCCACTGCTGATGTTGTGCATGTATGTGTGTGAAGAAGAAAGGGAAGAGAGAGAAAACAGAAAACAGAAGGGGGCGAACAAGACATGCTGCACCCCATCCTTCCATCCATCCCTCTTCCTCACACCACCACACACCACCGTCCCCTGTCATCAGCCAGCCAGCCACACCACACCACACCACACGACACTCACCCAGCATCCCCCACCCCACCTCATCCATCCATCCAACACACATCTCCTCTTGGTGTTCCCCTCTTCTTCTCGCCCTCACCTTGCTGCTACTGCTTCTTGCCGAAAATGCAACTTGTGCTGTCGCTACCTGTTCCCAGCTGCAAACAGCCAGCTTCCGCCAGCAGCAGTGGGCGATGGGTTGGTTGGTTGGTTGGCTGGTTGGTTGGGGAATGTATTCAGCAGCAAGTGGTGGTGGTGGTGGTGCATTCTCTGCTGCTGCTGCATCGGCGGTGGAGGGTGTGGGCTGCTGCTGCTGCTGCTGCTGTTGTTGTTGTGATGGCCGTCAGGGAGGGCGAGAAAGAGAGGGAAAGATAAGCAGCGGCTGCAAGGTGGAGAATGTGTAGGTGTGCATGCGGTTGTGTGTGTGTGTGAAAACACAAGAATGAGACAGCGCATCATGCAAGGCAATACAGGCAGCCACACCACACACATGCATGCACATTGATGTGGGACAACAAGGGGAGACAGGAGCAGCAGAGACAGCGACCACAAAACACGCACACTGGTGCGGTGCGCAGCACACACGCACATGCTGCACTCACGTTACTCATCGCTTGCTTGTGGTGTGGTGTGGTGTGAGTTGGTGCTGCTGTTTCCACAGCCGCACAAGTGTGGCTGGATGATCATCACATGGCAGCGCCCGTCTGTTCATCCCACCACAGCAGTGGTGGTTGGTGGAGGGGGAGGGGTGACAGCTGCTGGCTCAAGGGCCCTCTGTGCGGCGACAGCGGCAGAAGGAAGGAGAAACAAGGGAGGGAGGGAGGTGGTGTTGGTGTTGAGAGTGGGAATGGAAGGATGTGAGCAACGACACAAGAAAATGAGAGGTGGTGATGATGGCGTGTGGATGGGTGGAGAAGAGCACGTGCACGTCGACACACAC